CTCCCGTCTGTCGGTCTGCACTGCCGTGGGGCCAGGCCGGGCGCACGCTACCTTGGCAAAGGTGGAGCCCTTCCCCTCCGACTGGATGGTGATTGTCTGGGTCCGGCGCTGCAGGATCTGGTCGATATCTTCCTCGCAGAACTTGGAGCCTTCGTCTTCCTCGGGAGGGGCCGTGGATCTGGCCAACAGGAGCCACACTGCCACGGAGGGGCCGTGGATCTGGCCAACAGGAGCCACACTGCCACGGAGGGGCCGTGGATCTGGCCAACAGGAGCCACACTGCCACGGAGGGGCCGTGGATCTGGCCAACAGGAGCCACACTGCCACGGAGGGGCCGTGGATCTGGCCAACAGGAGCCACACTGCCACGGAGGGGCCGTGGATCTGGCCAACAGGAGCCACACTGCCACGGAGGGGCCGTGGATCTGGCCAACAGGAGCCACACTGCCACGGAGGGGCCGTGGATCTGGCCAACAGGAGCCACACTGCCACGGAGGGGCCGTGGATCTGGCCAACAGGAGCCACACTGCCACGGAGGGGCCGTGGATCTGGCCAACAGGAGCCACACTGCCACGGAGGGGCCGTGGATCTGGCCAACAGGAGCCACACTGCCACGGAGGGGCCGTGGATCTGGCCAACAGGAGCCACACTGCCACGGAGGGGCCGTGGATCTGGCCAACAGGAGCCACACTGCCACGGAGGGGCCGTGGATCTGGCCAACAGGAGCCACACTGCCACGGAGGGGCCGTGGATCTGGCCAACAGGAGCCACACTGCCACGGAGGGGCCGTGGATCTGGCCAACAGGAGCCACACTGCCACGGAGGGGCCGTGGATCTGGCCAACAGGAGCCACACTGCCACGGAGGGGCCGTGGATCTGGCCAACAGGAGCCACACTGCCACGGAGGGGCCGTGGATCTGGCCAACAGGAGCCACACTGCCACGGAGGGGCCGTGGATCTGGCCAACAGGAGCCACACTGCCACGGAGGGGCCGTGGATCTGGCCAACAGGAGCCACACTGCCACGGAGGGGCCGTGGATCTGGCCAACAGGAGCCACACTGCCACGGAGGGGCCGTGGATCTGGCCAACAGGAGCCACACTGCCACGGAGGGGCCGTGGATCTGGCCAACAGGAGCCACACTGCCACGGAGGGGCCGTGGATCTGGCCAACAGGAGCCACACTGCCACGGAGGGGCCGTGGATCTGGCCAACAGGAGCCACACTGCCACGGAGGGGCCGTGGATCTGGCCAACAGGAGCCACACTGCCACGGAGGGGCCGTGGATCTGGCCAACAGGAGCCACACTGCCACGGAGGGGCCGTGGATCTGGCCAACAGGAGCCACACTGCCACGGAGGGGCCGTGGATCTGGCCAACAGGAGCCACACTGCCACGGAGGGGCCGTGGATCTGGCCAACAGGAGCCACACTGCCACGGAGGGGCCGTGGATCTGGCCAACAGGAGCCACACTGCCACGGAGGGGCCGTGGATCTGGCCAACAGGAGCCACACTGCCACGGAGGGGCCGTGGATCTGGCCAACAGGAGCCACACTGCCACGGAGGGGCCGTGGATCTGGCCAACAGGAGCCACACTGCCACGGAGGGGCCGTGGATCTGGCCAACAGGAGCCACACTGCCACGGAGGGGCCGTGGATCTGGCCAACAGGAGCCACACTGCCACGGAGGGGCCGTGGATCTGGCCAACAGGAGCCACACTGCCACGGAGGGGCCGTGGATCTGGCCAACAGGAGCCACACTGCCACGGAGGGGCCGTGGATCTGGCCAACAGGAGCCACACTGCCACGGAGGGGCCGTGGATCTGGCCAACAGGAGCCACACTGCCACGGAGGGGCCGTGGATCTGGCCAACAGGAGCCACACTGCCACGGAGGGGCCGTGGATCTGGCCAACAGGAGCCACACTGCCACGGAGGGGCCGTGGATCTGGCCAACAGGAGCCACACTGCCACGGAGGGGCCGTGGATCTGGCCAACAGGAGCCACACTGCCACGGAGGGGCCGTGGATCTGGCCAACAGGAGCCACACTGCCACGGAGGGGCCGTGGATCTGGCCAACAGGAGCCACACTGCCACGGAGGGGCCGTGGATCTGGCCAACAGGAGCCACACTGCCACGGAGGGGCCGTGGATCTGGCCAACAGGAGCCACACTGCCACGGAGGGGCCGTGGATCTGGCCAACAGGAGCCACACTGCCACGGAGGGGCCGTGGATCTGGCCAACAGGAGCCACACTGCCACGGAGGGGCCGTGGATCTGGCCAACAGGAGCCACACTGCCACGGAGGGGCCGTGGATCTGGCCAACAGGAGCCACACTGCCACGGAGGGGCCGTGGATCTGGCCAACAGGAGCCACACTGCCACGGAGGGGCCGTGGATCTGGCCAACAGGAGCCACACTGCCACGGAGGGGCCGTGGATCTGGCCAACAGGAGCCACACTGCCACGGAGGGGCCGTGGATCTGGCCAACAGGAGCCACACTGCCACGGAGGGGCCGTGGATCTGGCCAACAGGAGCCACACTGCCACGGAGGGGCCGTGGATCTGGCCAACAGGAGCCACACTGCCACGGAGGGGCCGTGGATCTGGCCAACAGGAGCCACACTGCCACGGAGGGGCCGTGGATCTGGCCAACAGGAGCCACACTGCCACGGAGGGGCCGTGGATCTGGCCAACAGGAGCCACACTGCCACGGAGGGGC